TGTTAAGACAAAGATTGGGTTTATTCATCATGTTAAGACAAAGATTGGGTTTATTCATCATGTTAAGACAAAGATTGGGTTTATTCATCATGTTAAGACAAAGATTGGGTTTATTCATCATGTTAAGACAAAGATTGGGTTTATTCATCATGTTAAGACAAAGATTGGGTTTATTCATCACGTTAAGACAAAAATTGGGTTTATTCATCACGTTAAGACAAAGATTGGGTTTATTCATCACGTTAAGACTAAGATTGGGTTATTGGGTTTATTCATCACGTTAAGACAAAGATTGGGTTAATTCATCATGTTAAGACAAAGATTAGGTTTATTCATCACGTTAAGACAAAGATTGGGTTTATTCATCACGTTAAGACTAAGATTGGGTTTATTCATCACGTTAAGACAAAGATTGGGTTTATTCATCACGTTAAGACAAAGATTGGGTTTATTCATCACGTTAAGACAAAGATTGTTTTTTTTTATCACGTTAAGACAAAGATTGGGTTTATTCATCGCGTTAAGACAAAGATTGGATTTATTTATTATGCTAAGACAAAGTATCATTTCAACTTTTGCAAACTAAGGATTTTCACTTACAGCCTTTAAATCTCAGAAACTGTTTTTGACCAGGTCAAATGACCATAGGGGACCAGCTGATGATGATCAATGGTCAGTCCTTGATCAATGTGACCAGTCAACAAGCTGAGCTGATCATTCAGGATGCTTCTCAAACTGCCAGGGTAAGTTATGCCAAGTGATTTCTGAACAGTGGTATTAAATAATGATTGCTTGTTTAATGCCTGTCTTGACATCTAAAGACATTGTATTTTTATTGAATTAATTGCAGGAATTTGTTGAGATATACTACTGTGAAACTACGATGGTTAACGATGAAGATAATATGTAAGTTGATGTAAGATAGGATGTAACATATGATGTAAGTTGATGTACGATACAATGTAAGATATGATGTAAGCTGATTTGTTTGCTTTGCGCAACTGAATAGAAAATATTAATTATTATTGAACTAACATAGCAGCACATTATAGACCGCACATTATAGTAGCACATTTAAGACGCACGTTATAGCACTTCATTATAGCAGCAGAATTAGTAGTACATTATAGCAGCATATTATAGCAGCACAATATAGAAACACACTGTAGCAGTGTATGGTAGCAGCACATTATAGCAGCAAAATATATCAGCCCATAATATCAGAATAATATATCATCACAATATAGCAGCACATTATAGAAGCAACAAAAATGGAAAGCACCATTGCCAGGTGTCAGGCTTGTGTGGCCCCCAATATTTCAGTGCCAGGCACCAGTCTTGTTTGGCCCCCAATATTTCAGTGCCAGGCACCAGTCTTGTTTGGCCCCCAATATTTCAGTGCCAGGCACCAGTCTTGTTTGGCCCCCAATATTTCAGTGCCAGGCACCAGTCTTGTTTGGCTCCCAATATTTTTTTCAGTGCCAGGCACCAGTCTTGTGTGACCCTCCAATATTTCAGTGACATATTTTCATCTTAGCTTTTAAATTAGCCTTGGCTTCCTTTTTAAATGGTAACTTTATAACAAAAACATTTATAAATGACTGAAGAAGAATGTGCATCTTCTCTCCTCCTCAGAACCTACTTTTAGGCCAGCCAGTTGATTGGCTGCTACAGCTCCAGCTGGACTTGTGAGGTCAACTTCAATAGCAAGAAAACCAACATTTTTATATATTTTAAAAAAAAATCATTTGGAACTTTGTGACAGTGTCCCAGGTGGACCTTTGTGACAGTGTCCCAGATGGACCTTTGTGACAGTGTCCCAGATGGACCTTTGTGACAGTGTCCCAGATGGACCTTTGTGACAGTGTACCAGATGGACCTTTGTGACAGTGTCCCAGATGGACCTTTGTGACAGTGTACCAGATGGACCTTTGTGACAGTGTCCCAGATGGACCTTTGTGAAGTGTCCCAGATGGACCTTTGTGACAGTGTACCAGATGGACCTTTGTGACAGTGTCCCAGATGGACCTTTGTGAGTGTCCCAGATGGAAATTTCGTGACTTAGTGTCCCAGATGGAACTTTGTGACAGTGTACCAGATAGTACTTTGTGACTTGGTTATTTTTCAGTTCAAAATAGCAAATATTTTATACATATTTAATTGACAACACATCCATTATACTAGCAGCAAATAGCTCTAAACTCTTTTCTATACACATCACAAGATGTTTTATACTTGCGTATTCATGGCAAGTGTAAAATATATTTGACATCACTTTCTTAAACAAAAATGTGAGATGTCTATTTGTACCTATGTTACATGTCTATACCATTATAGCACTTCAACAACAAAACACACACACATCCTCACCACACACACATCCTCACAGCACACATCATTTTTGCCACACAGATCCTCACCACACCCACAATGAATTCACCACTCACACATCCTCACAATCCACCCATATAAATAATCAAGACTATGATTATATGAGAAGATGTGATATAGATGTGATATAGATGTGATATCTGTTTGTTCATCATGGAATTGTCCATCCCCTTAAACTTTCTATTAGTGCCAGAGAAATAATGTACGCTTTCTCCTGTAGTGTACGTCGCTTTCTCCTGTAGTGTACGTCGCTTTCTCCTGTAGTGTACATTGCTTTCTCCTGTAGTGTACGTCGCTTTCTCCTGTAGTGTACGTGTAAGCTTTCTCCTGTAGTGTAAGCTTTCTCCTGTAGTGTAAGCTTTCTCCTTTAGTGTAAGTCGTATAGTTTTAATTATTCCATCCCCCATTGATTTTGTTCCACTTAAAATGTAGATTGCTGTTATGTTGTTCAAATTAGCATTGATATCTTATTGATAAATCATATGTCTTATTTATTACTAAATCATATATATGTTTTATTTGTATGTTTTCTAAATAAAGATCAGAAACAAAAATTTTTTTAATCAATTAAAAATGAAACCTGGTTAAATTGTTTTTCTGTGAATAAATTTGGCAGCTATTTTTAACATTAAATTTGCAGATATTTTTAACATTAAGTTTGCAGATATTTTTAACATTAAGTTTGCAGATATTTTTAACATTAAGTTTGCAGATATTTTTAACATTAAGTTTGCAGATATTTTTAATACCCGGTATTAAGAATGCAGATATTTTTAACATATTTCCAACACACTAGCTCCATGTACAGTTTATGTTATTGATCATTAATTTAACGAGCTTTTGGCTGTTGACAATTATTTTCATATTTGTTTATGTTTTTGTCTAGATTACTGTTTGATAAAATAATTATTTGTAAGCTGATATTTGTGTTAAATTTCTGTCCATAAAATGCGTTAATTGTGTTCATTAATTAACATAAAAAGAGAAAAGAGAGCACAAAGTATCATCTATAAAGTTTTTATTTAAACATTTTTATAGCGATGAAAACAAAATGAAGCAAATAAATTTCACTGAGTAGAACAATGTGGCAATAATTACCATAAGAGACAATATCTACGGGTATTAACAAAAAATCATAACATTTCATTACAACACATGGTTTTAACAAAAATCTTAACATTTACTTACAGCATATGGTTTTAACAAAAATCATAACATTTCATTACCATTCATGGAAAATGTAATATTTTAAACAATTATTTTACACCATCAAGAGTAGCCATAAAAAAAATTTAAATTTTTTTAAAAGTAATTAACAATTTAAATAGATATCATTTTTTACATGAAATTTAATTTAACAACTGAATCATACAAAAATATGAACACCAGTTTTGGTATATTAAATAAATGTTTGAATTGCTGAACTCAAAACTGTCACTGTCAAAATATGATTTAGGTGACATTCAATGCCAATGTAAAGATGTTTTCTCTCTCTCTCTAAAGCAGGATTTCCCTGCCAACCTGGGAGTATGAGGTGGGATGGTGTGGGGGGGGGGGCAAGGAAAGTGATAATAAGAGCAGATGGAACATTAGATTTTAAGTCATTGACCTGGTGAATGTTTCTGAGTAACAGTTGATCTTATAAGTTGTGAAGTCCTCTTTGCAATTCAATCAATACATGAGAAGTTATTTCATCTCAAATATTCATTATTATGTTTGTGTGAGACTAATAAAATAAATATTTGGGAATGGTGAGCGTAGAAACTGTTGGGTACAACACTGCTCTAAAGATACATTCTGAAACACTAATCTAAGGAACCATTACAAACACTAATCTAAGTAACCATTACAAACACTAATCTAAGTAACCATTACAAACACTAATCTAAGTAACCATTACAAACACTAATCTAAGTAACCATTACAAAATGCCTATTCATTTTGATCTCAGGAAAAACAAAAAGATTCATTATAAACATAATCCAGTAGGAGTAGGTAAATGGTATTTGCTTTTAAAGATAATTTATAAACAAGGACCTGCTAGATGCCACCAGATTATAATCAAGGACCTGCTAGATGCCACCAGATTATAATCAAGGACCTGCTAGATGCCACCAGATTATAAACAAGGACCTGCTAGATGCCACCAGATTATAATCAAGGACCTGCTAGATGCCACCAGATTATAATCAAGGACCTGCTAGATGCCACCAGATTATAATCAAGGACCTGCTAGATGCCACCAGATTATAATCAAGGACCTGCTAGATGCCACCAGATTATAATCAAGGACCTGCTAGATGCCACCAGATTATAATCAAGGACCTGCTAGATGCCACCAGATTATAATCAAGGACCTGCTAGATGCCACCAGATTATAAACATGAACCTGCTAGATGCCATGAGATTATAAACATGAACCTGCTAGATGACATGACATAAACAAGGACCTGCTAGATGACATGACTTTATAAACAAGGACCTTCTAGATAACATGACATTATAAACAAGGACCTGCCAGATGCCCCCACAAATAAAAGTTTCTTTTTAAATCAACCCGTGTGTTTTATTCAAGACAAAGCAAATTCTGAAAAAATTAAAACTTTAAAATGTTTAAACCCTCCCACATGTTACACTAAATTTATCACAATGTTACCACACTTCACAATGTTAACACACTTCACAATGTTAACACACGTCACAATGTTACCACACTTCACAATGTTAACACACTTCACAATGTTAACACACGTCACAATGTTACCACACTTGACAATGTTAACACACTTCACAATGTTAACACACGTCACAATGTTAACACACTTCACAATGTTACCACACTTCACATAACTCTCTTTTGAAGTTTCACCACCCTTGTCGTGTAAATAACAATGTTTTGAAGTCTTGCTCACCAAATGGCAGCCACTGATGAAGTGAATCTCCTTACTTATACTATTCAAAAATATGTCGACAGTACATACAATGAACAACCTGCCAGAAACAAAGTCTCTCACGTATAAAGCCTTTATATGAATTTGTTATTAATATTCTTATGTCCCATCCGCATTTACGCCGCAGATTTATTTCACCAACTATTTGAGAAAAACAAAAGAAAATATTACGCACCAAACGCTCTTGCAATATTTTTACGAATCTCATTTAGCGCAGTTAGGTATTTTATTTGGTGAAATCAGTGGTGTCCTATTTCCTTCATCTTCCCCTTGAAAAACAGATTTTTGGGGGGTTGGGGTTAAGGAGTGGGGCTGATGACGTGTTGTCATCTGCAGGTTTCAGCTGGATAGGTTGGCTGGACTGAGTCAATTAGCTGTCCGAAGATTTTGCAACACAGCCAGACAGAAAGAAAGAAAAACAGCTAAGTAAACATAAAGGATTTTAAAAAAGCAGACCAATCTTGTCAATGCCAGTCATTAAATGTGTAAACATTTCAAAAGGAACGGTTGAGGCGACAACACTAGACACATTTGTGTCTATTGCCTCAAGCCTTCAAACCCCCAGTGCATGATTCCCTCACAAAGTGGCACTGCTTTAGACACTTTAAAGGAGTAGTTGACCAGGAACAGAAACATTGCAAATCCCATCTACATGCATAGGAGCCAAAATGATCAATAAATTGATCGTGGGCCCTTAAGATATAGAAGAAGAAGAAGAAGAAGTAAAACATTACGTACCAGTAATCCAGATTTTTTTTTTTCATCTCAAATTCAATATTTTTAATTTCCAATTGACATTAAAATGTTATTTCACAAATATATACACATAAAGACACATCATTGTGTAGTTAAATTAAGTCAAATAAGATCAATCTTGTTATTGAGACAGATATCTGACATTGTGGTATAATTTTGGACGATACATCCCACCCTCTTCATCACAGAAACTTAGCAGCGGTCCATTCGGGACAAAGTCTTTCTCTCAGGGCGAGGACTCAAAGATATAAAAATTCTTTTGTTCCCCAATCTGTGCGAATCTACCAGCATGCTCCCCCAGAAGCTACAAATCTAAATGATAACTAATAAGTCCCTGTTATGACTAAGGGAGTTCACTCAATGGTTGTTTTTGTCACGTGTAAAATAATTTAATGTCATGTCTTAAATTGTTTTAGTTGAAAAATATGGGCTTTATTAAACTATCTATTTATTTAGGTGCTGAAAATGTATATGTACAATGCAATGAAAAACATTTTCATTTGTTTGGATCAATAAAAGAATCTTATCCAATAAAATATACATCTAATAAAATGGCTTGTTACTACGGTATTCAATTTAGCAGCTTTAGCATATGTTGACCACTCATTCATGCTGTGGTTGTCAGCCATTCAAGGCCTTGTTTAATACAATAGCAACTTAAACTCAGTTTACATATAACCTGACTCTAACATTAAACACTTTTAACATCTAACCTGACTCTATCATTAAACACTTTTAACATATAACATGACTCTATCATTAAACACTTTTAACATATAACATGACAATATCAATAAACACTTTTAACATATAACCTGACTCTATCATTAAACACTTTTAACATATCACATGACACTATCAATAAACACTTTAACATATAACCTGACTCTATCATTAAACACTTTTAACATATAACCTGACTATCATTTAACACTTTTAACATATAACATGACACTGTCCTTATAAACTCTTGCACAAAATATGATATTCATAAAATTGTCAAAACAAAACCAAGTTAATGTTTCAAATGTCTATTCTAATCATGAACTGTCATCAAGTGGTCCTGTAATCTATTGATCAAATATTACAATTTTCGAATGTTTGAATAAATTAAAATGTTTTTAAACATAGAAATCGACCGACCAGAAAAGGGAAGCTATTTCCTAAGAAAGAATGCCATGAAAATAGTTTTTTTGTCAAACAGTAAACAATTTCATAAATAACAAAGAGTGCAGGTTCTACATCCCCTCTGGTTTATAGGGATGTCAAAATCAGCCAAAAGGCAGCAACTATGTCAGCCATAACTTGGCGGCCATTGAGCGAGATACCGCCATTACGATTGGCATTTAATTTGTAGAATTTTACTTTCGAAGACAGCCAACATTCTCACCTAGTGCCTCAGTATCAGATTCCCCAGTTCCCTCCCGTAAACATGATATTATATTAATTATAGCTCTGAAAAATTACTGCATTATGGTTTGTATGAATAATTGTTCCTTCAAGAGATCTCAGGCTAACAACTTTGTTCTCTGAAATAGATCTCACGCTAACAACTGCGTTCTCTTATTGAGATCTCACGCTAACAACTTCGTTCTCTCGTTGATTTCTTGATTTACGGGTTGCTCTATTCTTTCATCGAGATGTCTGACAAGAGGGCGGGTTCGAATCTCCAGCTCAAATTTGTTGAATTCTTGAACATAGGTGAAAAAGAATGAGAGGAAGGTGAAGGCCGTTATCCACTCTCCGACAGTGCTCACAATGTGTGATACATAGCCCTGTAAATATTTCAACTACATATTACACAATACACATTACACTTCCTGAAGTGTGACGCATCAAGTGAACATTTGCAACAAATAATAAATTATATCTGACAGGCAAAACACACAGACAAATACAAACACAGACCCATACACTGTTACACAGACAAATACTCACTTACAATGACAGACGGATACACTGTCACACAGACCAAATACTCACTTACAATGACAGACGGATACACTGTCACACAGACATAAACACAGACAGATACACACATTCACTCAATTCTTGTCATTGTTTACTTGAGAAGCCATAAAAGTTGATTAAGATTTGGATCACTTGAACACATTCTTTGGATCACTTCAGCTAATTCTTCCCTATTAATAACTCTTTGTCTTCGAACAAATCAACATAACTCAATCAATCATCTGACATAACTCAATCAATCATCTGACAACTCAATCAATCATCTGACATGACTCAATCAATCATCTGACAACTCAATCAATCTTCTGACAACTCAATCAATCATCTGACATAACTCAATCAATCACCTGACATAACTCAATCAATCATCTGACATAACTCAATCAATCATCTGACATAACTCAATCAATCATCTGACATAACTCAATCAATCATCTGACATAACTCAATCAATAATCTGACATAACTCAATCAATCATCTGAGATAACTCAATCAATCATCTGACAACTCAATCAATCATCTGACATAACTCAATCAATCATCTGACATAACTCAATCAATCATCTGACATAACTCAATCAATCATCTGACAACTCAATAAATCATCTGACATAAGTCAATCAATCATCTGACATAACTCAATCAATCATCTGACATGTCTCAATCAATCATCTGACATAACTCAATCAATCATCTGACATAACTCAATCAATGATCTGACATAACTCAATCAATCATCTGACATAACTCGATCAATCATCTGAGATAACTCAATCAATCATCTGACAACTCAATCAATCATCTGACATAACTCAATCAATCATCTGACATAACTCAATCAATCATCTGACAACTCAATAAATCATCTGACATAAGTCAATCAATCATCTGACATAACTCAATCAATCATCTGACATAAGTCAATCAATCACCTGACATAACTCAATCATCTAATGTCTTGTTATTTCATTATGTTTTTATTCCCCAGACACAAACAAAACTCACCTGGTTTGCTCAATCTCTTTAACCATAATCAAATATTTTACTAACCATTATGCAGTTGGTAACCGGTATACATTATTACTAACCGGATCATTAGGGGCCCACTTAAACTTGTCCTCTGTGTGTTTGTGTGTGTTCCACTCATTAATAGCCAATCCTGCTGATGCTATTGCTATATTTCTTTGTTAAGTCAATCAACTTTAGCAAATAATGGAACACAAAGTAAATTAGCTATCATATTCAAAAGAATCCATTGCTTTCCTCTCTCATTCTTTAACTTGATCATTAGAAATTGATTATTTTCACTTTTGACACCCAGTTAGTACAAGTATCAAGACAGCAGAGACACTGTGAGTGTCAAGACAGCAGAGACACTGCAAGTGTTAAGACAGCAGAGACACTGCAAGTGTCAAGACAGCAGAGACATTGCAAGTGTCAAGACAGCAGAGAAGCTGCGAGTGTCAAGACAGCAGAGAAGCTGCGAGTGTAAAGACAGCAGAGAAGCTGCAAGTGTCAAGACAGCAGAGAAGCTGCAAGTGTCAAGACAGCAGAGAAGCTGCGAGTGTCAAGACAGCAGAGACACTGCAAGTGTCAAGACAGCAGAGAAGCTGCGAGTGTCAAGACAGCAGAGACCTTCGATTGTTAGTCAAATGCCTAGTTGACCTTTTCTACAGTGGTTTAGTTTTTTTTCAAGGTTTTACATACACCCCATGAGTATGGCGAATGTGTCCATTCTATCACACTGCTGGACTGATGTGTCCATTCTATCACATTGCTGGAATAATGTGTCCATTCTATCACATTGCTGGAATGATGTGTCTATTCTATCACATTGCTGGACTGATGTATCCATTCTATCACATTGTTGGACTGATGTGTCCATTCTATCACATTTTTGGACTGATGTGTCCATTCTATCAAGCTATGTCAGAGTATGACCAGTTGTGAGGCAGCTTTGAGCCACTGGACCCTCATCAATAAGTTTGATTTACAAATTTGAAGCTGTGTGCATTCACTTTTTGTCAATGGAACCATGATGTCTATTTTTAGAAATTATAAAATGAAGTATTAAAGCAAAGAAACTATTAGTACAATTAAGCACAAACTGAATAATTATGACCTTCAACTTTTAAAGTAAAATATGTTAAACAAATATTTTGTCAATTAAATTAACGTCAATTACTCTTACAATTAAGCAGCAAAAAATTTGGCAATAAACATTATTTGTTTTTGCAATGAGAATTCAGAAAACTATTTTAATGTCTCCAGAAGTCTGCGCCTCCCATTTGACATAATTTTGCTTCCATACAGCGATGAAGACATATGAAAGGATACTTCCATACAGTGATGACATACTTCCATACAGTGATGACATTCTTCCATAAAGTAATGAAGACGTATGAAAGGATACTTCCATACAGTGATGACATACTTCCATACAGTGATGACATTCTTCCATAAAGTAATGAAGACGTATGAAAGGATACTGACAATAAGAGCAGTGAGTGATGATATGCTGAGGGCCAGGCGAACTCGACAGATGTACAGACCGTTGTAGTCAGGACACATGTGATAGGACAGCCCGGCTTGAACAAAACAGTACAGAACTCCGGAGATGAACGTCATTCCTGCACCCACAACATGCACTATCTCAACATTAGTTCCTTCCTGAAACACAACAGAATTTTTACAGACCTGGTCACCTTGGATCTCGCAAAATCGTAAATACATTTTTGCAATTGTAAAGAAAGAAATATAAATAAAAATGCATACAATAACTGCTGCCATTGCATGTCTAAAAAAATTACATTCGTAAGTTTTTATTTATGAATGCAGGGATGCACCTTTGCGTACGGTATACCTGCATATAGTTGTACACTTAATGGTATGGCTCGTGTTAATTAGGTTCCCACTACCTAGATATGTTTATATAAATCCAGTAATTTGATTAGTTACTAAATAATTTTTTAAAAATTATAATTTTTATTTAAGATTTGAGCATACTTATTTCTATAATTTTTTTATTTTAATAAGTCCAAAAAAGCGGGCAGGTACACCAAAACGGTGGGTACTGTCACAAACAAAGATGTATAGATAATGCTAATGTGCGTCCTTTTCAAGAATGGAAATAATATTTAACGTGGCAGCCTGTGGTTTGCCAACCCTGCCTTAAGCCTAGAAACCTGATTTTATCTTTTGTAAACACATTAAAGTCTCATAGCCACAGAAAGCTGTATTACGGGAAGGGAAGAGGAGGGTGGGAACAAAACTGGGGTATTAAAATTGTGCAGGTGCTTAGTAACTTCTGAAAATAGATATTGCCCCATCCCATGCACAACCATACGCCATACGCTCCTTAGTCAGCACCACCTCCATTCTCCCCACTCAGTGTGTATGCAATATAATTATGGATGGTCCCCAACCAATGGCCATTTATTTGATGGATGGTCCCCAACCAATGGTCATTTATTTGATGGATGGTCCCCAACCAATGGTCATTTATTTGATGGATGGTCCCCAACCAATGGTCATTTATTTGATGGATGGTCCCCAACCAATGGTCATTTATTTGATGGATGGTCCCCAACCAATGGTCATTTATTTGCTCCATTCTCCGCCGGACGTAGAAATGAGCTAGAACAACAACCAAATAAGGCTGGGGGTTTTCTTAATTATAAAAACTACCAGAACATATTTGTTCAAATTCATTTCTTAAATTTTGTAGTTCTGACAGGTCTTGGTATACAACGGTAAAAAGCATCTCAAAAGTGTACATTAAACGCTGAAATCATAAGAGTATCTAGGTCTGCTTGATAGTGATGTCAATTTGAAGCAGTCAAGCTGACAACCCTGAACTGACATTTGACTTTTTTTATTGGAGGACGACAAAAGTAATATCCAGCTGCTTTTATAGTAACATATAAATGCTGATATGATGATACGCTGATGTAATGACATTTCATTATGCTGACATGATGATACGCTGATATGTTGACATTTCGATACGTTGATATAATGGTTAATTTAAAAGCAGGATGAACAATAAAGACAGATTTTTAATAACAACAGTTCTCAACTTGCCTGAAAATTGGCCACAACAGAAACTCCTAATGCTGCTATCATTCCCAAAAATGTTGCTCCTTTATTCAACTTACAAAGTTTAGGATCATCTACGGTGTTATGAGCTATAGCCTCCACAGCTTTGTAGCGTACGTACATCGTGCAGAATGCTGTAGACGAGAGTGCCGTTAAGTTCAGATGAGCTGGCATTACTTAGGTTTTTCGAGATATCTCTGGTGTTAGGTTATTCAGGTACATCCCAGCACAGAGTGTAGCATGTTGTAACCATGACGACCCATACATGAGGTACAGCCCAGCACAGAGTGTAGCATATTGTAACCATGATGATCCATGCATGTTATTTTATGAGTGGAAATTTTAGTTTTACTTTACCCTTTCATTTTTATTGAATGTTTAATTTAGTGCACCTACTACTACCGTCACCTCCTTTATGATTTTTGTTTCATTCTTCTTTTTTTTTATTATTACTCAATAATGAATTAAAACCTCTCAGAGCAAAGATATGGACAGAAATAAATTTTCATAGATTTTCTTACCTAAAAATGCAGCAATATTTAGAAACTGCCCAAATATACAGCTTTCTGGTCTCTGGGAACCTGTATCACTAAAATTATTTAAATTAAAAAAAATAATTAGGTATTAACGATATTATAAATAAAAGTTGGAAATAACTGTGGAATGAATTTAATTCATGTACATTAAAAACTAAAAACATACAAACTAAAACATACAATAGATTATCAGATTTAGAATTTAGAAACTATGATATTGGGACGAGAATAATCAGCTCCCAGAAATTTTACTATTTCCGTGTCATTATAATAGAAAGGATCGTCTTTTAGTCACTGTGCACCCTTTCTGCCAAATGTATGCATCCTGTATAAGAAATTCAACCAAAGACTGTTCTACCTAAAAAAAAAGTGTACAATTTTGGCGTAAACAAGCAAGTCCTTAACTTATTCTACAGTACAACTATTGGAAGCCTGCTTAATTTCAGTATTACCTGCTGGTGCGGGAATTCAACGTCTGATATTAAACACCGCATAAACCGACTAATCAAGAAAGCTAGAAACATAACACAAACTAAACATCCTTCACTTGAAGAACTTTTTGAAGAAAGATGTTTTTGCAAAACTAAACACATTTTGGATGATACATCCCACCCTCTTCATCCTAGATACTTAGGATCGGGCCGTTCGGGACGAATTCTTTCCATCAGGGCGAGGACTGACCGATATAAAAATTCTTTTATTCCCCAATCTGTACGAATTTACCGGCGTGCTTCCTCTGAAATCACACATCTGAATGGGAACTAATAAGTCCCCGATTTTGCTAAGAGAACTCACTGAATGGCTGTTTGAAATAATTTATTATAAATGCCTTGTGTTCAAATTGTTTTATTTTTGTGCTGAAAATGTATAATGCAATCAAAAAACATTTCCATTTATTTGGATCTATAAAAGAATCTTATCTTATCTTATCAAACCATTGTAAAATATTACACTAATTACAGACCACTGTCAACTCCCTGTCCACATCTGAATAAATCTTGCACATCTCTGGGTTTAGAGAGGGTACACAAAATGGTGGAAATTAAAAAGTAGGATTTCAACAATAATAACTGACACAATTAAGTGGATTAAACCAATTATAAAATAACATACCCTCATTGCGCATGAACCAAAATAGCATAAGGAAAGAAAGAATCTAGTGTTTTCCCTACATGAGTTGACTTCAGTACCTTATGTAAGGGAAGGCAGCACTGACATCATTTCTCACCACTGCTATGATGTAAGAGACTCCAACAGTTATCATGGCAAGCAGCACTAGAGAAATGGGCAACAACCCAAGGTGTGACATTGTTGAGCAACTGCTTGGTCTCCCTTTGATTAGATTTGATAAACAGGAACAAATTAATGAAGAAACTGAAGAACCTTAGGCAAAGCATTTTTTAATTATCTTTTTAATAAAACGTGCAGTTGATTTTAAGTCTATTAATTGAAGTCATGCAATGATGACTCAGTGAACTTTGAATTTGTATTTATAGCTGAATATAAAACTACCATAAAAATAAATTATGTTACATTCTGTTAAAATATAGGCCTACTTATCATTTGATGGTTGGTCTGTGATAAAGCTAAGGGACACAATCCATTTCTGACACTATACAGATTAGTTAGGCTTTCGTTAGAATATTAGGCTTTTGTTGGAATAGTTCGGCTTTTGTTATTGTACAAAATAAAAGTATAGGGGCAAGCACTACAGGCGGCACTTTTGTTTATGTTACTAACAACATTATAATAGATGCATGTGTGGGTGGTGCCATTGCGGCAGTTCACCTCGAGTGGCGTATAGTCAAGATACACCTCGAGGTAACAAGCAAGATTTGAAAAGTCACATCATCTATATTTGATATTTGATGATAGAAAAAATATTTGTTCCTCACAAGTCCAAAATCTCAGAAAAGCTTAGTACATTCGAACCCGCTTATCTCGACCTCGGATAACTCACCAACCCTGTTATGATGATGTTTTTGAAGTAGAATAGCCAAACTCTCTCATTGTCTTGGCATTTTCTCCACGGTTATGTCGATTCTTTTTTGTCGCCAAACCCTGATATCTCATGCACAAAAGGCCACTTAAACTCAGTTATCTCGATCCCCATGACCAATTGCTGGCTTTTGAAAAATAAACAACAGAAACGTACCTACTTCAAACTGTAGTAATTGAAATGAAATGACAATATCGTTGTGTGGGCAATTAACTTGACACAGCAAGATGCGAGGAGTGAGCCTTGCATACAAAAGAGAGGGGTCGCAGTACCTGTTCTATTTATAGCCAACCTGCTTGTCGCTTAATAGTTAATAGGCTTTCACGGATTCTTACAGGTTTTTTTTTTTTTTTTAAACCCAGAATCCGTATGTGAATAAACTGAAATGGCGAATCCGGAGCGAGAGAAAATAAAAAGTAGCGAATCTGGAGCTGAAAAATATTTAGCCTCACGAATCCGGAATTCTGGAATAATCTGGAAAAGTGGCACCCCATATATGCCTTGTGTTGTTAGCAAATATGTATGTACATTTTTATAGCATGCCAATCCCTTCATCAACGCTGTTGTGTAAAAAAAACTTGTAAAAGACGTGCATGTACACTAAACACACATCGTGTACATAAAGAAATTTCAAGCACATGTTAATATATTGCCGCCATATTGGTTTTCGGTTATCTCGGCGCTTTTTTACAAGCCCTGAGGCCGTCGACATAACCGGTTTCAATTATAATGGGAAATTGATTGTAGTCATGAGATGATTACTGACAAAAATGCTCGCATATCTTCTTAGGTGGGTCATGCTACAGGTGGAACATTTGATGCATGCCTCATATTCATAGAGGCATCTATCAATATAATACACATGTACTTAAACAAAATAATTAATGCGCATTTCCTAAAATTAGCTTAGATCTTGTTTGTCTCTGCATATTAAATTTTAACTGACAATAAATATGGAATTTATTTAAAAGAAATTTCTGATAGAACGACTGAAACTAACCAGGACGAGGCTGCTAAATCAGGACAATCCCGGTTAAACTAGGGTATCTGGTAGCCTAATCACTGACAAGACAGTCCCTTGGTCAGTTACCAGTGTATAGTTTACCAGTGGCAATACTATACTATAGTATACTATAGAACAGTGTCTCCAAAAGTGGTATCTGTGAACCAACACAGGTTCCTGGTGCAATTTCAAAACTTGTCAATCAGTCGGCTAAGCTTACAAATTTGGCAAACACTGTTATCGAGAACAGGCTCCAGACTGCTTTCCACAGATTTGAAAAAGCTTTTTAATAGGGTCAGGATAAATAGAAATTACATCAAACAGAATTTTACGTAGGCCTATAACATAATTCAATAAATTTACAGTATAAAATTTATAATGCAATCGTTGGAAATGTAAAAAGGTACCAACTTTAAGGTAATAATTATTAGTTTCAGCACACAACCCTGGCCCATGGCCAAGAAATGAAAACCTTATGCATACACTTGCACCACCTGATTTGGCTTTGGATAGAAAACTATACATAGAGTTAAAGTAAAACAGAAAAAAAAAAATTTTCTTAGGTAGACCTTTAAAAGATAGATTTTAGAGCCTGGGTAATTTCATTAGACATTAGAATTAGAGTGTAGTATTAGTAAGTAGTAGGAGGCAATTATAATTACGAATTATAATTAATACTAGGTCTAAGTTTACTAAGCCAGTGTAAGGTGTGCTAGACTAAGCCAAAGGGATTTAGCTTATTTTATTGTTCACTTTAGTCTTTGTCTTTACTCTTTTGTCCCCAGTTATAGTTCAATGACTATGACTATGAGTATGAGTACGAGTATTTATTTTAAATGACTCAATTATTGAAACCACTCTGCCACAATAAAAATTCATCGTTCATGTCCATACATACTTATCCATATACCATTTATTACTCATTGTCATATGACTACTAATAAATAATAATTCCTAATACTAATTATACTTATAATTAAGAAGACTAATAAATAATTAATAATTAACTATTTTTCTAAAAATCAGTGTCCACACACATCGGGACATCGGCCATCGTATCAGATCAGCTTTACTATTTTTTTCGGAATGAATTACATACCGAAGGATAAATTAGCTTTATTATTTTGGAAAACACAGCTGTCTTCAACACATCAAATTGCTGCCTTTGTATTGCCTTGTCACATGAATATGGCTCAAAATATGGGTCTTGGATTTAGGACAACAGCGATGTTTACAAAATGAGATCGTAACCTTTGAACTTTCTATTCACACAGTTTATTTATTTTACTCTATTTAAACAAAAAGTTTTGCTGTTTTAATTTGAATATTCATATTAAAAGTAAGATGATTAATTTGTTTATGTAAAAAAAAATGTCGATAACAATAATAAAAAACGTTTATTTATAAATTTTATGAATTTGTTCCCGTGATAATTTGAGGCCTGTTCAATATGAAGCTTTTGCCTAATGTTCCGCTCGCAATCTTCTGACTCATTGTCAGTTGCGAAACTAATGTTTCCAACCCCTCCCCCGTTTCCCCACGAAAAATGATCTGCAACTGCTCGAAAATGCCGTCCTCAAAACAGTAGAACCTCGATTTTCCGAACGCCAATTATCTGAACAGCTTCTGGACAGCCTATATCGTTTAAAATGATGATATTTATTATTATCGTACGCAGTGCTAATATGGCATGGAACATTTAAAAGTTTGTTTACAATCCCAGGAAAACACTTCAGACCACTGTCGCCGCACAATCCAGGTCAAATCAAAACAAGTACTGTCATTGTATTCGCAGTGACCAGACAGGAAGATTTATATGCGATCTGCAAACTTGTTAATTACAAGGCCTACTATCGCAGCAACCCCTGCCCGCAAAGATACAGTCATATCGGATTTTATTCTAAGAATCAGTTTCAGTTACCTACTTATAGAAACAGATTTCCCTATGGGCTAAGTTATGTTTAAGCCTGGGCCTAGGGCCTCCAACATCTAAGGGGCCTCAAGATGTAAGAAGGCATATTTTCTGAATTCCCGTCGAGGCCTTGCAATCTCTGTAGCTGCAGGAGGCCTCGGATATTTAAGGGGCCTAAAGTAAAAGTTGTGATGGGGTAAATCAAAAACAAGAACTAATCGAAAATCCCTATGACGGATGAACAACGTTCAATGCTGCTGGGAGCCGTCCATGACTAGACAAGGGGAGAAAGCTATGACGGATGAACAACGTTCAATGCTGCTGGGAGCCGTCCATGACTAGACAAGGGGAGAAAGCTATGACAGATGAACAACGTTCGATGCTGCTGGGAGCCGTCCATGACTAGACAAGGGGAGAAAGCTATGACAGATGAACAACGTTCGATGCTGCTGGGAGCCGTCCATGACTAGACAAGGGGAGAAAGCTATGACAGATGAACAACGTTCGATGCTGCTGGGAGCCGTCCATGGCTAGACAAGGGGAGAAAGCTATGACAGATGAACAACGTTCGATGCTGCTGGGAGCCGTCCATGGCTAGACAAGGGGAGAAAGCTATGACAGATGAACAACGTTCGATGCTGCTGGGAGCCGTCCATGACTAGACAAGGGGAGAAAGCTATGACAGATGAACAACGTTCGATGCTGCTGGGAGCCATCCATGACTAGACAATGGGAGAAAGGAGAAAGTACTTGGTACTTTTTTTTTTTAAGTTGTTTTTAAATGTATAATTTCCCGTGACTGTTTGATGTGAATTGTGGTGAGCCTAGCCCTATGTTGGGGTAGCCTACTGCGCTACACAAGACTTCTTGAATAATAATAATAATAATAATAATAGCTCAATAACAAAAGCCAAAAAGTGTAGCTGTAGGTGTTGGTGGAAATCAAAAAGTCACGTGACGGCTCAGGTGTAATATTGACCCCCACCCCCCCCCTCAAGTGCCCCCTACCCCAAAGCAAAATAAATGATTACAACAATGTTGTTAAATGTTGGCCTATTTTATTTAAATCTTAATTTTTATTTCATTACATTTTAAATAAGAGTCCTAAAATTTGTGAGATAGTACAACCAAATATCCAGGCTGTCCAAAGATTTTATGTAGTGACCGACCGAAAGTGATTTTCTGATTTCGGCCGAAACCGAAACGAGACCAAAATTTAAAAATGACTTTTGACCGAAACCGAAGCCAAATCAAAAAGCTTAACGAGACTTTCGGCCGAAACTGAAGCCGAAAGAATGAGATATTTTGACATTCGTCCACGTCTCTGTTCTTCGTACATCGAACATCGATGAGAGAAAGACTCAAAATGGTGTATGATATTTATTTAAAAAATGCGATCATCTTAAGTTTTAATAGATAAGCATGGAACGAATACTTTAGCATCTTGAGTTGTAAGAGATAGGCATGGTACGAATACTTTGGCATATTGAGTTGTAAGAGATAGGCATGGTACGAATACTTTGGCATCTTGAGTTGTAAGAGATAAGCATGGTACGAATACTTTGGCATCTTGAGTTGTAAGAGATAAGCATGGAACGAATACTTTAGCATCTTGAGTTGTAAGAGATAGGCGTGGTACGAATACTTTGGCATCTTGAGTTGTAAGAGATAAGCATGGTACGAATACTTTGGCATCTTGAGTTGTAAGAGATAGGCATGGTACGAATACTTTGGCATCTTGAGTTGTAAGAGATAGGCATGGTACGAATACTTTGGCATCTTGAGTTGTAAGAGATAAGCATGGTACGAATACTTTGGCATCTTGAGTTGTAAGAGATAGGCATGGTACGAATACTTTGGCATCTTGAGTTGTAAGAGATAAGCATGGTACGAATACTTTGGCATCTTGAGTTGTAAGAGATAAGCATGGTACGAATACTTTGGCATCTTGAGTTGTAAGAGATAAGCATGGAACGAATACTTTGGCATCTTGAGTTGTAAGAGATAAGCATGGAACGAATACTTTGGCATCTTGAGTTGTAAGAGATAAGCATGGTACGAATACTTTGGCATCTTGAGTTGTAAGAGTTCGTTGGCATCTTGAGTTGTAAGAGATAAGCAACGAACAAATACTTTGGCATCTTGAGTTGTAAGAGATAAGCATGGAACGAATACTTTGGCCGGTAACATTTCAATTAAAAAGTAATTTAATTTTTTTTTAAAGATTTATTTTAAAGTAGTGAGATAAGAAAAAGTTTTTGATGAGCGGAAAAGGAGGGGGGGGGCCTAATTCATGCAATATAATTACAACCCTACCCAGACATATTTGGTATAGATCGAAAGCTTAGTCATGCAACTATGAATGTTGTATTTGTCCGACCCACTAAAATGTCCAGACATAGGCTACGTCTTGAAGGAACTATTTCTTTCCCTCAACTCAGGGTTCACCAGACTATTTCTTAATAAAAATGTGAGCAACTTTTAAAATAGGGTGGGCTATAAATAGTATCTCTTTCTAAAAATAATATGAATAACATTGTTTTAAATGTAGTCAAATCTATGCATGCTGAGCTAGAGAAAAATAAAGTGCAGTCTCATTAAAATAGCTCTCGGATTTGTTCTGACAATATTTTTCCAAACAAAATCCCGCTTCCGATCACTTCATGACTTATTAGATGAGCAAAAATCATAGTCATCTACGAATATTGTTTGACTCAGTTGAGTATCCATTACATGTTGTTCTTTATTTCATAAAAAATATTTTATTTTAATTTCATGATTATGTCTCTTTTGCTAATATTTGTATGTACAGTGCGGCGAGCCCAGCGCTAGGCTGGGGTACCACGCTAGAAAAGACCACTAATTATTATTATTGTTATTATTATTATTTATTGCTAACAAGTACTGCCCATCAGATCATCATTTTTACTTCTTGCAACGCAGTAAGACTAGAGCAACGCACCGTTCACAAACGGATGTATGCGTTCATAATGCAGCATTTTCAGTACTGTTACCTTGGGCGCGTACTGTCAAACCAACAACTTTGGCCTTCTTTCACCATCTCATGATATGAACTTGGTGTTCTCTCTCTAACGACTTAGTTAAGCTTTCTGAATCAATGCTTTAAAATTATTTTTTTTTTTTAAACCTCAACGCTGAACAAAGACAAGTCCATGGGCGCCCGCAGGTAGGGACAATGAGGGGCACTTGTTTGGATAAAAAAAATTTAGACAAAAATAGACAAAAAATGTATTAAAGTAAAGAGAAAATAAAGAGAAAGTAACTAAGCTGACGTCTTGTCCGTTCGTTCACCATACAAATACGCTACAGTAAATTAAAACTATATTAAAACATTACTAAAAAAAATTTGCCCCCCCCCCCCTGGAAAGTTAATCGATTTTTTTTGCCCCCCCTCCCCTAGAAAGTTTTCTGCGGGCGCCCATGGACAAGTCTATCACGAAGAAAGCATGGAACGAATACTTTGGCATCTTGAGTTGTAAGAGATAAGCATGGTACGAATACTTTGGCATCTTGAGTTGTAAGAGATAAGCATGGAACGAATACTTTGGCATCTTGAGTTGTAAGAGATAGACATGGTACGAATACTTTGGCATCTTGAATTGTAAGAGATAAGCATGGAACGAATACTTTGGCATCTTGAGTTGTAAGAGATAAGCATGGTACGAATACTTTGGCATCTTGAGTTGTAAGAAATAAGCATGGTACGAATGCTTTGGCATCTTGAGTTGTAAGAGATAAGCATGGAACGAATACTTTGGCATCTTGAGTTGTAAGAGATAAGCATGGTACGAATACTTTGGCATCTTGAGGTGTAAGAGATAAGCATGGTACGAATACTTTGGCATCTTGAGTTGTAAGAGATAAGCATGGTACGAATACTTTGGCATCTTGCGTTGTAAGAGATAAGCATGGTACGAATACTTTGGCATCTTGAGTTGTAAGAGATAAGCATGGTACGAATACTTTGGCATCTTGAGTTGTAAGAGATAAGCATGGTACGAATACTTTGGCATCTTGAGTTGTAAGAGATAAGCATGGTACGAATACTTTGGCATCTTGAGTTGTAAGAGATAAGCATGGTACGAATACTTTGGCATCTTGAGTTGTAAGAGATAAGCATGGTACGAATACTTTGGCATCTTGAGTTGTAAGAGATAAGCATGGTACGAATACTTTGGCATCTTGAGTTGTAAGAGATAAGCATGGTACGAATACTTTGGCATCTTGAGTTGTAAGAGATAAGCATGGTACGAATACTTTGGCATCTTGAGTTGTAAGAGATAAGCATGGTACGAATACTTTGGCATCTTGA